CCCATGCCCTCAGTATCCTGTCATCTGTTGCCACGGAGAGCCGCCTCTCTCCATCCTCTGTGGAACCCCCTTCAGGTAGTTGAGCTTGGGTTGTGGAAACACAGGTGCCCCGCCCCCCCTCCCCCCCTTCCCTTCTGGGAAGCTCTGCCCAGAATCGGTAGCTCTGACATGTTTTCTTTGCATTCGGTAAAGAGCAAGAGGCTTTCATGCTGGCTCTGTCACCTAGAACAAAATAAAACTGTCGCCTCCTGCCCCACATGCCTGGTGCCTGGAACTAGAATTCCTTTGTCTCTGGTCAGGAGCGTAGAATGGGTCCTTGGGGAATATTGGGCTGTTACAGCCCATCTTAAGCTCATTCCGTGGATATAAATTCCCCTCACAATGGGCGTGATGGCTCCCATGTTGGCCCACATGGGGGACTGAACCGAGCACTTCTAGCATGAGCCTTTCGAGAGGAAGCTAAAAAGCCAGGCTCTCTAGCTGGGGCGGTAAAACACGTATACTCTGTGAATCAGGACTATAACACACAGTGCCCAGTGGCACTCTGACATCTTACGTGTAAAGGAGAAGCATGAGAAAAAATGACGACGCATCCATTCACTAAGGTCTGTTTTTAAAGGGCTAAGAAGCGTGGGTCCCCAAACTGGAACCACTCCAGAGCAGTGGTGCTGACTTGGGGGATGTTTCCCCCTGAGGAGATGGAGGAAGAGGATTTTGCAAGCCCTTTGCATTCGTCGCTGATGGACTACACCGCCCTGGTGACTCCTGTCACGGCTGCCGGCGTGGAGCCGTGACCCAGGCCCTGGAGTTGGCTCCGCTCTTTCCACAACTGGTGGTTCCCCTTAGGAGAAGATTCAGAAATGCACGTACCCCGGGCCGTGCACAGCCGCAGCCTGCACCGCTTTCCTGTGCACGGACACGGGAGCCGGAGTGAACCTTCCGTAAGGAATCCAGGGCGGAATGTGTTTGGGCCTGAGAAGGGCTGTTTCCTGCGGCTTTCAGGAAATGTACGGCCGACCATGCACGACCTTTTGCCCCCTCCCCCGTGCCACTGAAAGTCCTTGCTGAGGACAGTGGAAGTTGAGAGTTTACTGAGAGATCCCATCCTCCTTTCGGCCAGATGCTGCTGTGCTTTAGCACCGGGCCTCTGCATTGATTTCAGTGAGAGGGTAGGGAAGGAGAATCTGGTGCTGAAATGGGAGGTGATCCTGGAGAGAGGGGAAGGATCTGTGTTACAGGCTGGGGCTGCCTCGCACGGTCAGCAGGTTCAGAGGGCTGCATAGAAAGAAGGGATCCTCCTGCCCCCTGAAATAGACAGTATTTGCTCTTTGTCTTGGTGCAGTGTCTAGTCGCCTCTGGCAACAGTCCCATAGTTTTTGCTTGCTCCTCCCTGGAAACTACTCCGGAGGGGCTCCCCCCCTTTCTTTTTTCCAGGCACTGCAATGCCACACACCGTTTGCCAAGTTGGCAGGTGGATGGCTGCCTGCATGGTCGCCAGGGAAGTGCTACAGGCTGAAAGGCAAAAATGTGAGACTGTTCCTGATCTCCTGGTGTCAGGGCTCAGAGCCCTGCTAGTGTTCCCAGAAAGGGTTTATCAAGCCAGCCTGGTGGACCTTAAGAAACAGCCCTTTGGATTCTGCTTTGGGGCCTCCTTTAAACCGGCCGGTTCCCTGGAATGTTATTTCCTCCTCTTGCTTTGCAGAATCCATCCTGTTCTCCCCACCTCTGCCCTACACACACGCAGAGCAGGATGGATCCCAACCAGTAGGGGGCAGCAGGGGTGCCGACAGGTCAAAATCGGCAGCTGCCCTGGGGCCTGGCAATTTTAAAAGGCCCAGGTCTCCTGGCCACCACTACTGCTACCATGGCAGCAGCCGCAGCCGCAGCCTCGAACACTGGAATCCTGCGGTGTGGTCCAGGCGGTGCTGAAGGCTGGGTGGGAGAGCTAGCCACGCCCCTTTCACCAGAGGCCACGCCCCTTCCTGGAGCTCCACAGCCAGTGCCGCACCGCCTTGCCCTGGGCGTGGCGAAGTCTTTCACCAGCCCCGGGGGAGGGCAGTGACCCCTCCCCTCCTTTTGGAAGCTTTACACTGAAATCTTATTGTCGAAACCAATTTCCTTTCCTCCGTCTTGCATGCTGGGAACTGTGTTATTGTAGGGTTGTTTGTGTGAGCCAGGCAGTCCGTTGTTTTCCAAAGTACATGGAGATATTTACTTTTTGCAAGGCCCGTTTCCTGTTGCAGGTCACGTGGACTCCACCAGCAGGTTTTAGAACTGGAAAGCCAGGCTGTTGGCCATGGTTCTAATGAGGGGTGTAAAACCCCTTTTCATTGGTTAACGGGTTAAATGTTAGGTTGAACCGATTAACCAATTAAACGGGGGTGTTGAGGGAGGGGGCTAGAGTGGCCCCTGCCAGTGACACTCCCTGGCAGAAGCAGCTCCTGCGTGTGGCATGCCCGGGCTTGCCACGGACAGGGGTTACTGTTTGTGGCGGCCCTGCGGTGGGTGCAGTGGTATAGCAAGGAGCGGGCAAGGGGGGCAGTTGCCTCCAGGCTCCCCTCCGCTCCCCCGTCATCCCTCGACTGCCCGCCGCCACTGGTTGGAGCCATCTCGTCTCTGCCTCTCTGCCCCCAGCCCGACCCTCCTCCATCTCTGCCAGTGGGTTAGTGTGTGCGGGGGCCCGGCCCCAAACTGGAGGGGGCGGGGGAAGATGTACAAGCTTTCCTTCCCTGGCCCCAAACTGGAGGGGGCGGGGGAAGATGAGGTACAAGCTTTCCTTCCCCCTCCCAGGATCAGGCTTAGCCATGTGCCAGGTTCGGGGCCTTGCCACACGGCGGTAAGGAAGGGTGCATAACACTCTCGCTATGCCTCTGGGTGGGTGGGGAGTTGCTTCAACCCCACCAGTTAACCAGAACTGGTAAGCATCACTCATTACAACTGATGTTAACTGGTTAACCTTTCACGTCCCTAGTTATAATGATAATAACTCTCAAGCGAACGTGTGCATCTCAGATGGCCCACGTTAACCCACTTGAACTCAGTGGGACCCGCTGGTTCTCAGCCCCTCTGAAAATAAGGCCCGTCGTGTGTTTGGGCCAACTTCAACATCACGGAACTCAATGGAAGCAGATTTGGACCCTTACTTTCTGGCCAGGATCATCCCTGGGGTGTTGGGGCACTGACCTGAAAAAAGGAATGTACCAAGGGTTAAGGAACGGAAAAGAGGATTTAGTAAAACCAGAGGTTCCGTATCGCTGTGACTTCTACGGCCAGTGATGATCCCCAGGGGAGTTGAAAGGCTTATTACAGGTTCACATTAAAACCCTTCAGTACTAACCTGCCCCTGTCTGCCATGAGGTTGGTCAGTAATCCAGACACAAGTCTTTCTCACGAGGTCTCCGTTAACAAGAGCACAGACCAAATCCTGGATGAGAATACAACCAAGCGTTGAAGTTCACCTGTGTATCTCAGCTTGAGTCATGTCTAAGCCTGAAGGATATGATGCATCTCTTCCTAGCTGCCGGGCATAGTGAGCAGTTTCGACAGGCACCAGAGCAGTGCACGAAGATTACGGTAAACATGAGCTAACCGTGTGTAGCCAGAGACAGGAAATACCTACTCAGTGTGCGTCCATCGCTTCCCTTGGGCCTGGCAAGTCCCAGAGTGAAGTGGTTTACGCTTGCTGAGGAACACACTTTTTGTTTTGCTCGGCGTGACACCTTTCCCCATAGATGTGTCAGGATCTTTGAAAATCTCTCCGAGCGTCTTCCCATAAATACACCGTCAGGAAGTGAGTCGAGATGATGTCCTGCCTTTAGAAGCTATTTTCTGCTGGAGGGGAAACAAAAATAACCTCCATGCCACCGCTCGCAGGAGCCATCTGTTGTAGTGCAGGAGATGAAAGGAAGTTCCGTGGGACTGTCCCCGTGCCACAATCGAAAAAGGGAAGAGCTGAAGAAGTAGCCGTGCCTTCCTTTCCAAGCCGTTCAGTTCTCCCCCACTGCTGGAACTCTGAGGAGCTGCTAACCAGGGCTGCAAACGGGTAACTGGTTCCTCGGTGAGCATCTTCCTTATGGGGTTAACTGGCTCCTGGCCCAACTGGAGCAGTTCCTTGGGGGGACGGGGGCCCTCCTCCAACCTAGCTGGGCCCATTGTGCCATGGGCAGGGGGGTGCTCCAGCCTGGCGGGGCTGAAGCAGGCCCACGGTGTGGTGTGGAGCAAGGCCAGATCAGTCCCCCTCCCTCTGCAGTGTGTTGTGCAGGGCTCGGCCTGGTTGGGCCGGAGCAGCCCTCCACCGACGACACAGGATGGCAGGTCCTGCCCAGCCCGCCTGGAGCAGCCCTCTGCCTACACCAGGGGTAGGGGGCTGCTCTCGCGGCCCCCTACCTGCTGTGCAACGCAGTGGGCTGGTTAACTAGTTAAACGTATTGTTTAACCGGTTAACGTTTTAACCGGGATTTTACATCCCTTTTGCTAACTTGTGCAGCCCCTGATTTTCCACTGAACGTCCAGAGGGCTCCTTTCGGGCTCACCACACGTACAGTTCGTTGGCTAGGGCTGTAGCTGCAGGAGTCCGAGAGCTCCTGGGTTCCTTTTCTGCCCCTGACTTAGTTTGGTTTTGGGCACATCCCTTCACCGCTCCATGCTGGTGCCTACTTATCTCTCTGGGTTGTGCGAGGGCTAGTGGGCCTGCTGCCATGAGCTCATATGGACAGTGCTGTAGAAGGCCTAAAATGACCTTACGACCATGCGACCTTACTCTCCTGTCCTGATTCAGGACAGAAACAGTCAGTGCAGGGATCTTGGCTTGGTTTTGCAGCTGTTGGCCCTGGCTTTATTCGCTGGCCCTTAGGCCACAAATGAGCCATGCAGCTTGCCACCTGCCTGCCGGTATGCGTCGGCCAGCAGAGTTGGTAGCTGGCTCGAGGGGGTTATGGAATGCCCCAAAGAGCGGGAATTTCCCCTGCCGCCATGCATTCCTTCCCCCTGGAGCTGAGCTGCTGCTGGCTGAGGGACTGAGAAACCAAGACTCAGAACCGTCATGGCTGCAGGAGCGGGCAGGCCACAGGGCCGTTGTTTGGTCACGCACCGAGTGTGCTGAGCTTGCAAGTTCTCAGGCCTCCGGGGCTGGCCACCTGGGGTCTGAACCTGGGCAGACCGAGCCGTCATTCAAAGAGGAACGTGGCAGCAGACGGAAGTGCTCATAAAAGTTCTAAGATGGGGACCGCGCAGTGGAGCGAATATCTGTCGGGTGAAATGTGATCGGCAGGCTGCTGGCTTCCTCCCGGGACGTCAGTGGAGGCTGCATGCACAGACTGTGAGCAGGACACGGTCCGACTCCAGCACCCGTGGGAAAAAATATCCTCCCCTCCTCCCTTATGCTCCTCCTGCCTGCCAGTGGCCCTGCTGCTCAACTCCTTCTCCCCTCGGTGCCTCCCTCCCGGCAGTGTGCACGAGGCTGTGGGAGGAAGATTGGGGAGGGCGTGTGCTCAGGGAGAAGTGGAAGAGGCAGGGCGGGGATGGGGACTTGGAGGAAGGGGTCAGGTGAGGATGGGGGCAGGTGTGGAGGGGCTAGGGATGTTAAATTTAGTTTAATTGACTAATCAATTAGTCGATAAGTGGGGGAGCCGCAGCGGGGGTAGGTCCCGG